TAGGCCCATAACTGCCTTATGATTATGCTAGGCCTATGGAAGCAAATAAAAAAAAATCTTACACACTCTGTATGAAAAGTTTAATGTCCATAAGCATATTGTAATTGGCATCATTTGAAAAACGTCTACCGCCCTCATCCCCCCCTCCCGGAAGGAAGTAGAATTTATGTAGAGAACATTTACTTTTACCAGTGTCCGCTCTCCCCCCTTCCCCTTAAAATGTTCTTTTTTTTTCGAAGTTATTACGCTACTCGGCAGAGCGTGGCCCGTAACGAATTGACTGGCCCATTTCCCATACTCAAACGCCACTTCTTATTTCACGTTACACCCTCTGTTACTTGATAGTGATATTGTATAACTACTAGTCTACTAAACTTTTTTTGGCTTCTTTAAAGTTGTTTATGGCAATAAAAGTTTAAACTGTCCTGGCTATCGAAAGCCGATCTTCATTTCTGCTAGCGATGAAAGTCATGGCTCAAGACTGCGTTACACTCGTTCTCAGCATTTGGTTTTCCAAAATCCTACTGATCTCAACACAAATCTAGATCTAGATCTAGATCTAATTCTAGGTCTAGTTTTAGTTTTACTACTACTGCTATGTACAATGTACCATGTATAAATCTAGACCAGTGTTTCTTCCAGACTTTTTTCTCCGGGGGGGCACTTGAAATTTTCGGGGGGGCGGTAGACTTTCTTCGGGGGGGCGGACACTGTTAAAAGTATATATTTTCTATATAAATTATATAAATTTCATTTCGTTCGGGGGGGCGGTAAAAATTTTTCGGGGGGGCTTCGCCCCCCCCCCGAAGAGATGCCTGGAAGAAACTCTGATCTAGACTAGCTTCTATTCTAAATCTAGATCTAGATATAGATATCTATTCTAGAATCTAGATTCTAGATCTAATTTCAATCATGTTTTTTGTTAAAACTTTGAGAAGAGATGCCTGGAAGAAACTCTGATCTAGACTAGCTTCTATTCTAAATCTAGATCTAGATATAGATATCTATTCTAGAATCTAGATTCTAGATCTAATTTCAATCATGTTTTTTGTTAAAACTTTGAGAATTATGAAGACTGAAGGCTTTTATTTATCGGCGCTTTGTGACTCTAGAGTCTAGATTATACATTATACATTTAGACTCTAGGAAGAATCTCCAGATCTAGATCTAAATTTAGAAATTCTACATCTACAGTCCTATATGTCGATATCAGACTATATCTAGAATCTAGATTTAATTTCTAGCTTTAATTAAACTTTGCTTTTTAACTTTAGGCCTTAAGTAAGCCTTTAGTTAGTATAGTCTAGTAGCAGTTTAAACTTTTCCTACACCAGCCTTAAAGCCTTAAACTGTTAAAACTATAATCATGCCAGAAATTTAGCTAACATAAAAAATAAAAAACCAAGTGTCTATTCCCAGTCGACTGAGAATAGCGGCCTGAATAGCCGTAAAAGGGCTATTCACAGTTGTGACTGTTTTTGATAGATTTAATAATAAAAACATCAATTTAAGTAGGAAGGTGTGTGGTCGAGCAATTTAAGTAGGAAGGTGTGTGGTCAAGCAATTTAAGTAGGAAGGTGTGTGGTCAAGCAATTTAAGTAGGAAGGTGTGTGGTCAAGTGAAAATGTGGGTGACTGCTGTGCTAGAAGGTGCTGGTTTGAACCCATCAGATCAGATAATTAGTCCCCCTGTTATCAAAATTTTATTTTTTCCAGTTTTTCATGAAAGGGTTACGTATAATACGTTTGTTAATGTTTTAATCATTTGTGACATGATTAATGGCATATCTGAAAATAAGAAAAAAAACATGTCCCTTAGATTTTTGCTTAGAAAAAAACAACTTGGGAAATGTATGATGAAAACTGGAAATTAAAATTATTTTTACTAAAAAGAACATCCTATTTCACCTGATATTTATTCTATGCAAATTTTAGATGGTAATTGACAGCTGAATAGCAATATGAACTACTAACTAAACTGATGCATAATTAATATTATTTATTTAAAAATTATACTAGATCTATTAATATAGCTATAGTATATATTTAATTACAGTGCATAATGATAATTGATCAGTTGATCTATTTCTCTATGACCAACATAGCAAATATAAACCTAAAAGCTAATCTTAAACCATATTTTTTAATGAAAATATAACACAATAAGAATGGCACTTGTTACGGGTCAGTTTTAGGTTAGACTAGAATAGGAAAGAATGATCTAGAATTAGGGGAGAGTGAGTGTGTGAGTTGAGTTTACCCTAGAATATTGTTAACCCCGGTGTGTTTGTGTATTGTTATCCCAAGGTCGAATGCGGTATAAAAGCTGGAGTGAATGGTTGTCAGGGGTTAGTTAGTTGGCAGGGTTAGGTCGAGGGCTATGTTGTAATGTGATATGTGAGACCTAATAAACGTATCGAACGTTAACCCGAGTCGTCTTGAATTCGAATCTAACCCGGACGTAACAACTGGTGGCCAGTATTAAAGTAAAGATAGCGCAATCATCAGAACGTCATTACCACTGGATGTCACCATCACTAGACGTCATCATCACTGGACTATACCATCCTGGGACCGTACCTGAACAGAAAGTCGCAATCAGAACGTCATTACCACTGGACATCACCACCACTAGACGTCACCATCCTGAGACCTTACCAGAACAGAAAGTCACCATCGCTGGATTCTACCATCCTTGGACTTTATCAGAACAGAAAGTCGCAATCACGGGATTCTACCATCCTAGGACTTTATCAGAACAGAAAGTCGCCATCACTGGGTTCTACCATCCTTGGACTTTATCAGAACAGAAAGTCGCCATCACTGGGTTCTACCATCCTTGGACTTTATCAGAACAGAAAGTCGCCATCACGGGATTCTACCACCCTTGGACTTTATCAGAACAGAAAGTCGCCATCATGGGATTCTACCACCCTTGGACTTTATCAGAACAGAAAGTCGACATCACTGGACTCTACCATCCTGGGACCTTACCAGCACAGAGCCTTGCCGTCACAGGACTTTTGTCTTTTTCGATCCAGGTCTTTGTCTTCACATGACCCGGCCATTACAGGATTTACCATTGTTTTGAAGGGCTAAAGTAGGGGAAGGGACTACTACAACAGATTTGTACTTGAGGTAAGTGTTTTTGGTGTTAGTCTTTGGCACGGTACTCACAACCAAAATCTTAAACGTAGCAATACCCACCACAAAGAAAGAGGTAAGATCATTAGTGGGTCTTATAGGTTATTATGTTAAATTTATACTAGAATTCAGCGAGGCCAACGCAATACTGACAGACTTGTTAGCAAAGGGTAAACCTGAAAAGGTCGTGTGGTCAGATGAATGTAACCGTGCTTTAAGACTGGTCCAGAAACACTTGAACTCAGAACCATTTCTTATTTTACCTAATATTAATGAGCAATTTATCCTCAGGATCGACGCCTCGTCACGAGGTATCGGGGCAGCCTTGATGCAAATGAGAAATGGGGTCCTAAGACAGTAAAATACATCAGTAGAAAACTCCAACCGAGAGAGACTCGGTACTCTACTATAGAAAGAGAGTGCCTAGCAATTGTCTGGGCCACAGGCAAACTAGCGTTGTATTTATACAACGCTAGCTTTGTACTGCAAACGGACCAGCGTGCTCTAAAATACCTTCATAAATGTAGGTTCAATAATGCCAGACTGACACGCTGGTCCTTCCTGCTACAGGAATATAAATTTACTATAGAACACATTCCGGGGAGGGATAATCTTCTAGCTGACTTTTTGTCAAGAAATTTTAGATCGGGAGTCTGAGATGTAAATTGTAATTTAAACCACAGATTTGTTTGTTTTTTTTTCTGTTTTTTTTTCTCGGTTATTTTTACTCGGTTGTTTGTCTTGGATTCATGTACAAAGAAATGTATAAATGCATTATTTATTTACTCTCCTCTTGGTGTAGTATACCTGTCGAATCATTTTTCTTTTTTTTTTTTGTTTTTTAAAATTATTTTATTTATTTATTTATCTATTTTTTCTCTGTTTGTTTTCGCCCTCTAGGTTAACTTAGGATTTGGGGATTTAGTTAGTATTTGTAGTATGTACTACAAATACTTGGGTGGGGGGGTAGTGTTACGGGTCAGTTGTAGGTTAGACTAGAATAGGATAGAATGATCTAGAATTAGGGGAGAGTGAGTGTGTGAATTGAGTTTACCCTAGAATATTGTTAACCCCGGTGTGTTTGTGTATTGTTATCCCAAGGTCGAATGCGGTATAAAAGCTGGAGTGAATGGTTGTCAGGGGTTAGTTAGTTGGCAGGGTTTGGTCGAGGGCTATGTTGTAATGTGATATGTGAGACCTAATAAACGTATCGAACGTTAACCCGAGTCGTCTTGAATTCGAATCTAACCCGGACGTAACAGCACTGCTCTTTTAATCTATACCTCACTCCCCAGTCACAATAAATGCTTTTATTACCATAAGTTATTATTCTCAGTCGTATATTTTTATAAAAGACTTCATTTAAAATTACCAGGAAACTATAAACTATTCTCAGTAATGTCTTCAGCAAAAACCTTTTTTAAGAAACATGTTGTGTTCTTCTTTAATTTTTCATAATCCATCATAAATATTGTCATTCTGTAGCTCTATGCTAATTACAGTTCCATCATAAATGTTGTCTTTCTGTAGTTCAATGCTAATGACAGTTCCATCATAAATGTTGTCTTTCTGTAGTTCTATGCTAATGACAGTTCCATCATAAATGTTGTCTTTCTGTAGTTCTATGCTAATGACAGTTCCATCATAAATGTTGTCATTCTGTAGTTCTATGCTAATGACAGTTCCATCATAAATGTTGTCTTTCTGTAGTTCTATGCTAATGACAGTTCCATCATAAATGTTGTCTTTCTGTAGTTATATGCTAATGACAGTTCCACTATAATTTTATTTCTCTCTCCAGAGCCTGAAGGATCTTCCATAGTGGTGTGTGCTGTCTGATGATGTCTTAGAGTAAAGTGGGAGTTCAAAGGTCAGTTATCTGGTATGTTGGTCTAAGAATGTATTTAACCAAAATCTTCTAAAGTTGACCCTCATGCTGAATTCTGTTTGCCATATCATTGACCAGTGGCTATTGTTATGTAGTTTTTAAAGAAACACTGGTTGATGACTAGACAAGCTACCATATAAACTTCTTTCTTTAAAAAGTAAACATATTTTTAAATATACAGAGTGACTGTTGGCTGCTGAATGTGATGTGAAGGTCAAGGTTATTTCATTCAAATAGCTGCCACAGATGACCATAAGACTACAGTAAAGGCCAGTAGAGATCTGTCACATCAAGTTACAGGTAAGTTTATTAATTATCTTTTAACTTAATTAAGTGTACAGCCATGGTTTATTGCTGATGTAGACAATGTGTCAAATCTTTGTGTTGTGGTTTATTTTACAGGAATTAACTTGGATAGTCTAGATGACCACAACAGTAGGGCCAGTGGAGAGGATAGTCTAGATGACCACAACAGTATGGCCAGTGGAGAGGATAGTCTAGATGACCACAACAGTATGACCAGTGGAGAGGATAGTCTAGATGACCACTACAGTATGGCCATTGAAGAAAAAGTCTCGACAGATTTTACAGGTATTGTACAGTTGTTTTTGGGAGATATTGAAAAGATATCTAACTTATGCTTAAATGTTTTGTGCTGATGAAGTCCTTATGTTGGAACATTCTGTAGTTTGAAATGTTTACTGGATGAGTATCTTAAGATGGTGATGGTTGAGATGGTTGTGACAGTTGGAGGATGTAGATAGTTTTTATGTTTGTCAAAGTTTTACAGCCAATGAAATGTTTACAGTAATAAAATTGTTTTGTTTACCTGTACAGGTACACATGAAGTACAAGAATGTCTTGAAGGTCAAGGTGAGGTAGATCTACACACACACCTGGCAAACTGCAAGAAAAATCCTGGCCATAACAACTTTATACCTGTAAATCAGTTAAGTGTTGAGCATTTTCCTTCTGGTTACCATGACAACGATGTGTATGACCTCACAAAAGCCCTGGCTGACCTAACTGTCAGGATAGCCGTTAAGTTGACCAGTCCAGACAGACCAGAGTTTGTACCAGGCACTAAAGATCCATATCCTTGCTACAACATCAGGGGACAGAACTCACTGAGGACAGGGACTGGGAGGGTGTGGGTGGTGACCAAGTACACAGAGGGGATGAAGGACTACAGAACTTGTCCATGTCCTGAATGTGACCACTCGGACACACCCAGCAAAGTGTGGTGGCAGGTTGGTGTGTTGACAGCCACACATGTGGTTTTTGATTCCAGTGAGGCGAGACAGTCCAGCTGTAGGTTGTGGTTTGATGATGATAAAAGTCCAGTGGTCAAGATTTATGGGTGGAGGGTGGGTTGGTCGGACACTGAGGGAGACATGTGTTGGTTGAATTGTGTGACACATGACGTAGATGTAGGTGATAAACTGTGGGAGATGGAGAGGCGGTTTAAAGGTCTACGTGTTAAAGTAAGTGACAAATACAAGAGTCGTAGATATGTGGACAGGCTGACCATTATAGTGTCACATCCTCATGGCTGTTCTAAGCAGGTCTCTGTAGGTTACTGGGCGGACAGGCTGGAGGTGGGGTGGTATGGAGACACCAGGTACACGTACACAACGTCCACCTGTCCAGGTAGCAGTGGGGCTCAGGTCTACAGACTGGGGTGGGTCAGGTCTCACCATCCCCACAGTGGAGCTTACCCTGGTGGATTAAATTATAGTGGGGTGTGGTGGGACTTGTAGTTGTCTGCTCTTGTATAGAATGTAAACAAACATGGCGCCTGTTGAATGTCTGTCTTTTCTAGAATGTAAACAAACATGGCACCTGTTGAATGTCTGTCTTTTCTAGAATGTAAACAAACATGGCGCCTGTTGAATATCTGTCTTTTCTAGAATGTAAACAAACATGGCGCCTGTTGGATGTCTGTCTTTTCTAGAATGTAAACAAACATGGCGCCTGTTAAATGTCTGTCTTTTCTAGAATGTAAACAAACATGGCGCCTGTTGAATGTCTGTCTTTTCTAGAATGTAAATATAAACATAAATAAAGTTTTAAATCTACTCTTTTTATTTTTCATTTTTGTTTGTTTGAACTTTGGATGTAATGACTCTCAATATTGACGCTAAAGTTGTGATCTAGCGACTCTCAATATTGACGCTAAAGTTAGAATCTAGCGACTCTCAATATTGACCCTAAAGTTAGAATCTAGCGACTCTCAATATTGATGCTAAAGTTCTGATCTAGCGACTCTCAATATTGTCGCTAAAGTTTGGATCTAGTGACTCTCAATATTGTCTCTAAAGTTGGGATCTAGCGACTCTCAATATTGTCGCTAAAGTTTGGATCTAGCGACTCTCAATATTGTCGCTAAAGTTTGGATCTAGCGACTCTCAATATTGTCTCTAAAGTTGGGATCTAGCGACTCTCAATATTGTCGCTAAAGTTTGGATCTAGCGACTCTCAATATTGTCGCTAAAGTTTGGATCTAGCGACTCTCAATATTGACGCTAAAGTTGGAGCTAGCGACTCAATATTGTCGCTAAAGTTTGGATCTAGCGACTCAATATTGACGCTAAAGTCTGGATCTAGCGACTCTCAATATTAACGCTAAAGTTAGGATCTAGCGACTCTCAATATTGACGCTAAAGTTTGGATCTAGCGATTCTCAATATTGACGCTAAAGTTTGGATCTAGCGACTCTCAATATTGACGCTAAAGTTAGGATCTAGCGACTCTCAATATTGACGCTAAAGTTAGGATCTAGCGACTATCAATATTGACGCTAAAGTTAGGATCTAGCGACTCTCAATATTGACGCTAAAGTTAGGATCTAGCGATTCTCAATATTGACGCTAAAGTATGGATCTAGCGACTCTAAATATTGACGCTAAAGTTAGGATCTAGCGACTCTCAATATTGACGCTAAAGTTAGGATCTAGCGACTATCAATATTGACGCTAAAGTTTGGATCTAGCGACTCTCAATATTGACGCTAAAGTTTGGATCTAGCGACTCTCAATGTTCGCGCTAAAGTTAGGATCTAGAGACTCTCAATATTGACGCTAAAGTTAGGATCTAGCGACTCTCAATATTGACGCTAAAGTTAGGATCTAGCGACTATCAATATTGACGCTAAAGTTTGGATCTAGCGACTCAATATTGACGCTAAAGTTTGGATCTAACGACTCTCAATATTGACGCTAAAGTTAGGATCTAGCGACTCTCAATATTAACGCTAAAGTTTGGATCTAGCGACCCTCAATATTGACGTTAAAGTTTGGATCTAGCGACTCTCAATATTAACGCTAAAGTTTGGATCTAGCGACTCAATATTGACGCTAAAGTTTGGATCTTGCGACTCAATATTGACGCTAAAGTCTGGATCTAGCGACTCTCAATATTGACGCTAAAGTTTGGATCTTGCGACTCAATATTGACGCTAAAGTCTGGATCTAGCGACTCTCAATATTGACGCTAAAGTTTGGATCTAGCGACTCTCAATATTGTCGCTAAAGTTAGGATCTAGCGACTCTCAATATTCACGCTAAAGTTAGGATCTAGCGACTCTCAAAATTGACGCTAAAGTTAGGATCTAGCGACTCAATATTGACGCTAAAGTTTGGATCTAGCGACTCTCAATATTGACGCTAAAGTTAGGATCTAGAGACTCTCAATATTGACGCTAAAGTTAGGATCTAGCGACTCTCAATATTGTCGCTAAAGTTTGGATCTAGCGACTATAAATATTGACGCTAAAGTTCGGATCTAGCGACTCTCAATATTGACGCTAAAGTTAGGATCTAGCGACTCTCAATATTGACGCTAAAGTTAGGATCAAGCGACTATCAATATTGACGCTAAAGTTTGGATCTAGCGACTCTCAATATTGACGCTAAAGTTTGGATCTAGCGACTCTCAATATTCACGCTAAAGTTAGGATCTAGAGACTCTCAATATTGACGCTAAAGTTAGGATCTAGCGACTCTCAATATTGACGCTAAAGTTAGGATCTAGCGACTATCAATATTGACGCTAAAGTTTGGATCTAGCGACTCTCAATATTGACGCTAAAGTTTGGATCTAACGACTCTCAATATTCACGCTAAAGTTAGGATCTAGCGACTCTCAATATTAACGCTAAAGTTTGGATCTAGCGACTCTCAACATTGACGCTAAAGTCTGGATCTAGCGACTCTCAATATTGACGCTAAAGTTTGGATCTTACGACTCAATATTGACGCTAAAGTTAGGATCTAGCCACTCTCAATATTGACGCTAAAGTTTGGATCTAGCGACTCTCAATATTGTCGCTAAAGTTAGGATCTAGCGACTCTCAATATTCACGCTAAAGTTTGGATCTAGCGACTCTCAAAATTGACGCTAAAGTTAGGATCTAGCGACTCTTAATATTGACGCTAAAGTTTGGATCTAGCGACTCTTAATATTGACGCTAAAGTTAGGATCTAGCGACTCTCAATATTGACGCTAAAGTTAGGATCTAGAGACTCTCAATATTGACGCTAAAGTTTGCATCTAGTGACTCTCAATATTGTCTCTAAAGTTGGGATCTAGCGACTCTCAATATTGTCGCTAAAGTTTGGATCTAGCGACTATAAATATTGACGCTAAAGTTTGGATCTAGCGACTCTCAATATTGACGCTAAAGTTTGGATCTAGCGACTCTCAATATTAACGCTAAAGTTTGGATCTAGCGACTCAATATTGACGCTAAAGTTTGGATCTTGCGAATCAATATTGAAGCTAAAGTCTGGATCTAGCGACTCTCAATATTGACGCTAAAGTTTTGATCTTGCGACTCAATATTGACGCTAAAGTCTGGATCTAGCGACTCTCAATATTGACGCTAAAGTTTGGATCTGGCGACTCTCAAAATTGACGCTAAAGTTAGGATCTAGCGACTCTTAATATTGACGCTAAAGTTTGGATCTAGCGACTTTTAATATTGACGCTAAAGTTAGGATCTAGCGACTCTCAATATTCACGCTAAAGTTAGGATCTAGCGACTCTCAATATTCACGCTAAAGTTAGGATCTAGCGACTCTCAATATTGACGCTAAAGTTGGAATCTAGCTACTCAATATTGACGCTAAAGTTCGGATCTAGCGACTCTTAATATTGACGCTAAAGTTAGGATCTAGAGACTCTCAATATTGACGCTAAAGTTAGGATCTAGCGACTCTCAATATTGTCGCTAAAGTTTGGATCTAGCGACTATAAATATTGACGCTAAAGTTCGGATCTAGCGACTCTCAATATTGACGCTAAAGTTTGGATCTAGCGACTCTCAATATTAACGCTAAAGTTTGGATCTAGCGACTCAATATTGACGCTAAAGTTTGGATCTTGCGACTCAATATTGACGCTAAAGTTAGGATCTAGCGACTCTCAATATTCACGCTAAAGTTATGATCTAGCGACTCTCAATATTGACGCTAAAGTTAGGATCTAGCGACTCTCAATATTCACGTTAAAGTTAGGATCTAGCGACTCTCAATATTCACGCTAAAGTTATGATCTAGCAACTCTCAATATTGACGCTAAACTTTGGATCTAGCGACTCTGAAAATTAAAGTGACGGAGTGGACTAGCGGTAGTGAGCTGGACTTGTAACCCTGAAGTCTCGAATTTGAACATGGTCTGTAGAACGTCCCTGAGTCCACCCAGCTCTGATGGGTACCTGACTCACGTTAGGAAAAGTAAAGGCGGCTGGTTATTGTACTGACCACACTATCTCTTCATAAGCCGTGGTCACACAAACGAGTGAACTCAACTTCACTTTCCCCGTAGACCGTCACGTTTGAAGGGGAACTTCTTTTTATTAACACGTTTTTTATTAACTCAGCTTCGCGTTTGTGTGTTTGTTGTTAAAATTGACATCGAAAATTAGCCCACTTCTGATTGTTCTATAGTTCTGAAATTTGGCATGCAGGCTACTTTCGCCTAACAATTTCAGATGCAATCATAAAAACTAGCAATTAGAGACCGTAATTAGCTTAATTTAATTACGCCCTAAGGACCATAAAATTGAGGACATGATTTCTAAAGATACCGACAAGACTGGAGGCCTATTGATACAGTTACTTCGGCCCCAATCGATGTGAGCGCGCTGGCCGTGATCGTATAGTGGTTAGTACTTCGCGTTGTGGCCGCGACAACCCAGGTTCGAATCCTGGTCGCTCAATATTTTTAGTCCGTGTATTTATAAACACTTAGTCAAGTCATACTTAATCAAGTCATTAGATAAAGTAGAAAATTAACTATATAAAAAACTTTTTTAGAAACCACGTTTTTCATGTGTAGCAACGGACTAAAAAGGAGAAAATAAAATACTTAAAAAAAACCACGTTTTTCTTGTGGACTAAAAAGTAGAAAATAACTATTTACATACATTTGATGACAAAAAACGTGGGTCGGGCAGATGGGTCGGGAAATTTGATGGTGAACGTACCCACGTTTTTTGTCATCAAATGTATGTAAATAGTTATTTTCTACTTTTTAGTCCACAAGAAAAACGTGGTTTTTTAAAAAGTTTTTTTAAAGTATTTTATTACTCTCATTATTGACGTTAACGTTTGGACCTATAAAATGTATTAGTGAATTGAATATGAATTAATTTTCACATCAATAGCAACCTGAACTTCTAGAAAAGTCTTTCTGCTATTTTGGTCTATAAAGAAAATTATATCAACATATGGATATTTTAAAAACCATTAAACATATGAAACAAAAACAATTTTTTATGTCGTGTCTGTTGTAAACAGACAAAAGCTTGAACCAACGAGTAGGTGGGATAAACCAATGCTGTTAGCGGTCAAAGGGAAATAACAATTAAAATAGAATATATCTTTAAGAAACATGAATAATGTACCTTTAAATAATTTAAAATAGTGTCAATGTAATTTTTTTTTTGTTTAACGTCACACAAAGACAGTTATCTAATTATTATAACACAAAGTCAGTTATCTAATTATTATAACACAAAGTCAGTTATCTAATTATTATCACACCGTGTGACACCAAGTGGGGGCTGACACCAAGACTAAAGCTTTGCAAAATGTATAGAAGAAAAATGATTAATTAGATTTTTTAAAGGGGGAGGTGGGCTGACACTAAGTATATTATATAAATAAGTAAATTATATATATACTAGTCGACCCGCGGCGTAACATACGCCTCTATTTAGTGACCCAGGACTTCCTGATAGACACAGTTGTCCAAAAAGGGTGGGTTTGGGCAAACTACTGTAAGAGAATTATAGGAAGTAACTCTGGAGAGAGCAACATATAGTTGTCCATGAGTGAAAACTGGTTTTGGAAGATACAGACATATCTTTTTGAATGTTTGGCCCTGTGCTTTGTTAATTGTCATGGCAAAGGCTAATCTGACAGGAAATTGTCTGCGCGTAAAGGTGAAAGGCAAATTTGAATCTGATGGAGTCAAGGATATCCGTGGAATAAGGACAGTTTGTGAGGTAGCAGCTGCGATAGTCTTACACTCCAGTACGTTGCGGTGAATGCTGGTAACAGTCAGTCTAGTGCCATTACAGAGACCTCTTGCTGGCATGAGGTTTCTAAGAAGCATGACAACTGAACCAATTTTAATTTTGAGTTTATGCGGAGGCATGCCAGTAGGGGTAAGACTGTTAAGAAATTCTACGGGGAAAGAAAGTTCATCTGCGGGATCGTCTGTGACGATGGAGTCCACGCTGGTGAAAGTTACTTCGTCGGTTGGGATAAGTTTCAATACTTGTTCATTCAGGTGCAGGGAGTCTTCGTTCGTGACACTTAGTATGACTCGCGTACTGAGTTGTTCCGAAGTGACAGTTGAGAAGTCGATGTCGCCATATAGTAATTGAACTGGATCAGAATGAAGAGGGAAAGAATGTGACGGTAATGTTACAGGTGTTCCAATTGTCCCGTCTCCAACATCGAGAAGCCATTTTGCAAAATGCTGTTCGTCAGGAAGAGCTCTCATATTTGTCGTCAGTGTAAGTACATGCATGTGACGCCACAAAAGTTGCTTGTTTATGCAACTGGCGACAGTGAGTGCTCGGGAGCCACGCAGAATGACGGGGAGTATTTGTCGGAAATCTCCACCCAATAGAATTGTTTCCCCTCCAAATGGGTGCGTCTCACCTGTGAGATCACGTAACAACCTGTCAACTGCCTGAAATGCGTATGCATGTGTCATTGGCGCCTCGTCCCATATAATCAATTTGCATTGCAGAATATGTTGCGCGTGTTGTGAGATAGGTTTGATATTGCATGTGAAAGTAGGAGTGAGCTTCAATGGGATTTTAAATACCGAATGGGCAGTACGTCCACCTGGTAATAATGTTGCAGCTATTCCTGTAGATGCAACGGTTACAGGAAAGTCTCCCCTGGCTCTGATGGTATGGATTAGAGTTTTATAGACAAAGGTTTTCCCTGTTCCTGCCGGACCATCTAAGAAGAAGCAGGTTTGTCGCGGTCGGGAGTCTGTGTATGCAGCGTCCAAAACAATGTCAACAGCGTGCTTTTGTTCTGTGTTGAGTTTGTCGTAGTGTTCTATAGCGTGGGAGTGTTCAGCCTGAGCATCAAAGGCGGAAGATGAATGACACTACGGAAGAATGTCAGTGAGGGGTAGGTGTAATTTGTGCAGGTTGAGGCCATGTGGTTGAAGCATGTCATTTATTTCTGCTAGAGCATGCATGCAAGCGGTGCGTGTGGAATATGTTCTGAGAAAGTCCTCAGAAAGGGAGAGTTTATGCGTGTCCCAAAGGTGTGGAACGTTTTGTGGTTCGCCGAAGACACAGATGAAAACAAAAAGGTGTCGCAAAAACGCTGGCATTCGTATCTCAGATGCCTCTATAAGTGTATCATGCCATATCTTCTCGTCTTTAAGAAGACCCAATAGTTGGCACGCCTCTTTGAAAGTGTTACATTCCACGCCGTTGACAGTTCGTAGATGCTTGAAACTCGTGATGCTTACGGAACGGGTAAGGAGAAGCCTGAGGTAATAACGTTCGGTGTCGTGAATGGCAACAACAGGCATTCTACCGATCACCTTTGCACCTCCTCTAATTCTCTTTTGCCATTTTCCAGAGGATTGTTGGAATGTGTAATGATGGGGAACATCAGTGTAATGTAACTCCACAGCTTCAGGATCCGTTTCATTGAGTTCAAACCAAGCTAAGAGCATGGCGTTTTTGTTGGCCTGTCTTTGTAGTGCTTGTTCTTCCTGACCCTCATGAAAGAAGACGACTTGCTGTTCTGGCAAATGAACTGGTAATCGTGTTATAACGTGCGATTATTCTAAAAGACTGTACTCGTTCAAACGCCACATAGCCTCCGGAGCACTAACATACCTAGCATCAAGAAAAGTTTGTATTTCGTCATGTTGGAAAACACCATCGGCCGGCTCCTTCTGAAGTGCAATGGATGCAGCGTCGTGTCCTTTGTAGACGTACTTATATAGGTACTTGATACATTGAACGGACGCGCACACTTCAACGTTAATATGAGCATTGAATTTCTGAGAAAGCCAGGGGTTGTAAGGTACTATCCAACGATTGTCGATGTCGTGTTTGCCAACAATGGCAGTTGTGCCCTGCCTTCGGCGGTATATGGGGTACCCTTGTGTGTTTTCTTGAGTCTCGGCGTTGAAGTCCTTTGGGAAATTTTTTGTGCACTTGCCGTCTTTCATGCAAGATGAGCTAGAATTGAGCGTACTACACGGACCATGTACCATACGTTTAGTGACAATTTGGAAAAGTCGAGGGTGTATTTCGGTATTTGGAATCTCAGCGCAGACATATTTGTCTATGTCATCTTTGGTCCTTATTTTGCACTGTGAATCAAGTGTCAGTAACATATGACAATGAGGCAAGCCTCGTTTTTGGAACTCAATAACGAAAATGTATGCGACTACATTGCCGAAAATATTCCTCTCCAAAATGTCAGTTAGGAACTCCCGCAGTTTGATATGAAAGACGCGGGCAACGACATCAGGCCTGTGTTCTGGTCGCTCATGATGGGAAATGGCGTTAGAGATTTCCGGCCAAGCAGGATTGTAGGTGAATGTTAGGAATAAGTCAGGCTTGCCACATTTGCGGACAATTGCCATCGCGTCTTGGTAGTTCTGTTGCATGTACCGTGGACTGCCTTGAAATGTAGAGGGAAGAATGATCAACTGTCCAGGGTGAATGTTATTGCCTTGTGCTTTTGCAGCGATAGCATCAATCAGTCCCCTGTATTGTTCTACGCGCAAATCTTCTTGATGGGAGCGTAGGTAATGTAAACGCGCGCCTTCTGTTCTGACATATGCGTCGACTACATATTGCTGGAACAGTTTGCCGCTGGAATGCAAGATGCTGAATGCAGATCTCATGGCAAGCCTGTAGGCATAAAATTGGAGTTGTGTGACTCTGGTTCTGTTTGCGGTTCGCTTTTCTTCAACATGGGCCGATTGTATGTGTCAGCCTGGATCTCCGTAAGGAAATAGCAGTGGATAAACCATGGGTTCACAGTTCATATTGAGTACAGAGATACGCTTGCAGGCATCTCCTCTTGGATATATACAAATATCGCGTTGTGCAGGAGGTTCCCCGTCTTCCCCTACAAAGATAGCAGCAACATCAGTTTGGCAGGAGGGTGCGTTGTACCTTCTCATGTCCAGGGTTGGATTTTCCATGAATACAATTCGTACAGAAGAAACAGAGTTACTGTGAGTTATAATGTCGTGCATTTGCATATACGATTTAGCAAAGGGGTTAACCTGTCGTATCATTTTGTCTAGTTGCAAAAACAACATTCTACTGCAAGTACTGTTACAATCATTTTGCAAACGTTGAGTGGTAGCCTCAGCAGAATCGAAGATATATAGTTGACCGTATCGAGGGGTCGTGTTAGGATTGGTGTACAAAGGACTGACTTGATGATAAATTTGACCGTGGATTCGGAATGCATATGGTCCATGACCAGGTGGTTGAGCAATGTCTGCGCCCATTGATGCGAAAGCTAAAGCAGAGTTGTATTCCCTGATATGATCCGAAATGTCGGGACAGCGGATCTTTGCCACTCAAGAGGTTTTGTAATAAAGCAGGAGCTTTGGATAGCGGTGGCAAAGACACTTTGCCGCTATGACAACACTTAGTGTAATGTCCGGATTTGTTTACCTCTGATGGCCATAGTGCGGTAGGTAGTCCAATGTCATGTTCTTCGATGGAAAGGGCAGTGTCTTCTCGAAACGCAGCGGAAAGTTGAATGTGATGAATGTGCATGTGTATTGCGAGAAGATGCGACTGTTTGAAAGAACGTTTGCAATGTACACACTCAAAGAAGGATTTCGTCAGGGCAGGAGTTTTCAAATGTGTGATAAGATTTTTACGTGCGAGAAACTGTTTGTCGCAGATGCTGCAAAGAAATGTTGTTAAATGTGTTTCTACATGTACATGTTTAGTTTGTAAGTGCTTCATAAGAGTGCGAGTTGTTTTGAAGCATTGCTGGCAATATTCACATTGCATCATTCGTTCAGTGGAGTGTGTTTTTAAATGTGCTTTGAGATATTTCTCTAGTCAAAAGGTTTTGGAACAAATGGTGCATTTAAAGTCCTCTGCGGAATGCGTTTGCTGACTGGAGTGTGTTTCTAAATGTGCTTTAAGATTATTTTTTCGTGTGAACTGTTTTGAGCAAATGTTGCATTGAAAACCCGGCGTTTGTAAATGTTCATCAGTAACAGGAGAGTGGGCAGGTGACGTCACATCAGTGTGGAGATCACATGGGTGCGTAATGTTGGTGCACATGCCGACGTTGTCAACAGATGGCACCAGAAGGTCATCACGTGTGTTTGTGAAAGGCAACAGAACTTCGTAATGGCCATGATCCAAAGGACCGCTAAATAGCAGGGATATGGAGAGACGTTGACCCGGATTGTAAACTCGAGGAGGGTCATGTGGACGTTCTCGAAAGTAAATAGCGATAGTAGCGGGAAGTATCTGAGACATCGCCACAATTTCAGCCTCGCCACCATAAACGCCGGAAGTAGTCATGTAGGCAGCGTATTGTTGAGCAGAGTGTATGACTGTACTCCCGTGAGTAAGAACAACGGACTGGGCGTCGCCATAGTTGTCCCAATGTTCGCAAACAAAGCTTACAGCCATCTTGCGAAGTTCGAGAGCAACAGTTTCATCGATGACATTTTTCCAAAAATACGCCACTGATAGGAATAAACAATTACCTGATGAAGGAATTTCTACTACATGGAAAGATCTGTTGACTCCACGAAATATATTTGAAGCGGTGGCCATTGTTAGGAAACAAAGGGGCAAAATCAAAACAATGCTTTGGGGCAAACGTAGCTCAGACGACTGTAGGATATACCAAAGCAACTGAGGACACAGGAGCGACTGAGGTACACACTGATGCGGGTACACACTGTTTCGCATGCCCCCCCCCCACCCCCCATGAAAGCAGCCTCCCATGACGACAGTTTACAGACGACAATGAAAATATCAAGCAGAACTTGTTATCTCCACTTAGTTTCAAATAATTTAAAAACTAACTTATCTGCCCCTAATAGCCGTCAATTATTGGGACCGTCTCTAGTAATATAAACATTAAGCGTGAACCACAGCTCACAACACCATGTGGGGGTGGGGGAGGTTGATTTATGCCTAGTGAAGAATGAAGAAGAGAGGGGATTGTAAGGCGCGTTTGCAGCTTGTTTTCTAACGGCTCGAAGAAGAGAATTATATTTATATATATATATATATATATATATATATATATATATATATATATATATATATATATATATATATATATACATATATATATATATATATATATATATATAAATGAAAAAATAAATAAATAAATATATATATATATATATATATATATATATATATATATTAGAAAAAATTATTAAAAAATTAGAAAAATTATGGGCTTTATATAAATAATATATATATATATATATATATATATATATATATATATATATATATATATATATATATATATATAAATGAAAAAATAAATAAATAAATATATATATATATATATATATATATATATATATATATATATATATATATATATATATATATATATATATATATATATATATTATTTATATAAAGCCCATAATTTTTCTAATTTCGAGGGGGGAGATTCATAGATCTCAATAGTAATCATTAATCAGTTGACTTAGATGAATGTGTGTATTGATCTCAATAGTAATCATTAATCAGTAGACATAGCCATACGAACTTAATTTAAACTCTTTAAATCCTCATCACACAAACTACCCGGCTATAATGGTTTTCTACATTTGTAAAGTTTTTCAATACAGTGTAGTTATGGGTCTTTATAACTGAATTAACTTTTTAACATAAACATTGTACATCAGGCAAATAAAAACCTGTAAAATGTAATGCAGCTATTAAGGTCCACAGACCACAAGCTATTTTAATCGTTTCCTGTAATATTTTCATAACAGTTCCATTTCCTAGTCTTCACCGTTTTTCAATTTCTTATTTTTCCACATTTTCCACAATTTAAATCCCTAAGGTTCTGTAAGTAATTGTCACATGAAATTTTTCACATTAATTAACCATTACAATGTCTACATTGTTCTGTTTGTTGGAATATATGTGTGTTTTGATGTAGTGTCATCCCCTTATTTTGCATAAAATTTTGTATTTAAAATGTATTCAAGTTATTGCAATTTAAAAAAAACAACGTGGTAACGTACATCTTTGTAGAAAAGCATACATTTGAATCAATTTTTTTTTGCGTGAAAAACGTTATAATTATGGGGAATTTAACATAGTTTTATCCTCACATTTGTGTTGTTTCTATGGCGACCTAATCTTTTAAGTGCGAGTTTATGCTATTTTTCATAAAACGATAAATAGTATTAAAATATGGATACATTTAAAAGCCCAAAAAATGGTAAATAAAAGAATATTTAAAACAGATGTCTTCTCATGACATTAAAGTTTTAAACGAAATAAAGTAATTTCAAAAAAAAGTATAACTTTACGGTCTAAGGGAAGTAACAATTAAATTAGAAAACTACTTAAGAAGCTTGAATTATGTACCTTTTTGAGTCAATTTAATATTCATTTGTGAAAAGACATCTAGATTTTAAATAGCTTCTCAAGTTTTACATAAAAGTAATGACATCTAATGAATTTTAAAACATTAATTTTAAGGTTTTACTCCTTCAGATCTGAAATGTACATTCGTAGACTAAATCTCTGAGGAAACTTTTTAACTGATGGAAACTAATGTAGAAGAACTTGATTTAAAGAAATACAATTTTTTTTAAACATTGAGTCGTAATTAATTCAAAAGGTCAGTAGGGTAGATGAAGTAGAGTTACGCTGTTTTTATGGCCCCGTTTTAATGAAGGGTGGAGGATCTTAGCAAATAAATAAAAAGTTGGTCGTGAAAATGTATCGAACTTAATGCACTAATTAAATGTGATCTTTTAGTCAGATTCCGTGCCCTAATTAAATGTGATCTTTAAGTCAGATTTGGTGCCCTAATTAAATGTGATCTTTAAGTTACATTTGTTGCCCTAATTAAATGTGATCTTTAAGTCAGATTTGGTTTCCTAACATTACATATTGTCGTGTTGGTATTTCACTGTAGCTTGAGTATTTCGCACGCACATCTATGACCGTTTCTACGCTAGTGATTGATCTATTTATTTTTACTGAACGTTTCTATGCTAGTCATTGATCTAGTTATTATCACTGAATACTTAAAGCAGTATTTTAGCTCTAATATCCTAAACTTTTAACAGTTTTGGTACACACAAGGCCAACTACATTTCTTCTTTCTAACCGTAAGCCTGACGGTGTGAAGCTATTAATAGGTATACTGTTGAACCTAGCGAAGTATGTTTTACGTTTTATGATGTCGAGCTAGCATAAACTGAAATACGATCTAACAGACCATGTCGACAATTTAGATACAGATTCTCTTTTTGTTTAGTGTCGACAATTTAGAGCCAGAATCTGTTTATGGTTAGTGTCGACCAGATGCGTAGCTAGGGGTGTGGGGGCGGGAGTGAGGGGGGGGGGCGCCAAAAGGGGTGGAATTTTTTTTAAGGCTAATTTTATGCTGCAGTTTTGAATTATAAATACTTTCAGAAATGTAATGATTACACGCCTTTACATACTGGTTTAACTGTTTCCTACCTTGATTATTAACTGTAAAATACTTACCGGCAAAACCGCATTCCAGCTTTTTCTATTTGGGGGGAGGGCGCGTTTTCGAGAATAAAATCGGAAAAAATTACACTAGATTGGTAAGTCGATAAACGTTACCACTTATAAAAACAACCAGTTGTATTAAAACGTATTGTACGATTGTTTAACCGTAAAATGCGATAGTGACCTTTATTAAAATAGTGCAGGGGGGGAAGGGGCTTTTAGGCTAACTAAAATCGCAAAATTACACTAGATTTTGAGTAAACAACCATTAGCTGTTAGAAAAGAAACTTATTGTACTAAAGTGCATTATACAATTGTGTTATATTTTTTTTAATGTTAGAAAGTTAGTTACGTTAAAACCCGCTCTACAAACTTTGTCCAAGATGGTTTTGAGGTGAGTTTGTGCGTGTAGGGGGGGGGGGGGGTGGCTCTTTTTTTTCGAGCAAAGATCGTAAGGTATTTGTACTAGATAGGTGTGTAGATTACTCTTATAACACTTGGAAAAGTAACCAATTGTATTAACGCGTAATGTACGATTTCACTAGCCAGTTTTGTTAAGAAATGATGCGACTAGGTCTGTGTAAGATTCTACAATCTTGCCTGGATCACTGTATTAATGAGAAAATTAGTAATAAAACAGATAGTATTAGTTACCTCACAAGTTAAAGACAGTTACAACAAAGGACGTTTCGACCCAAGGTCTTCGTCAGCACACAACAGTGTGATTACAGATTAGACAAATAAAGACAAACAGTAACACATTTTTTGACTTAGCTCGACAGTGAAAACACGTCTTGTCTGCTAGCCACGATATCCAAAAGAAAAGACGCGTGAGAAGGACGCTTGGACACCGTATAGGGGTGGGGTTGGGGGCGTGATGTATGCGGGAGGGGGGGGGGGTGGGTTGTTAGGTGAAAGATATCTGTTTATTCAAGCCATCGGGTGCCCGTGTACCAAATTTAAGTATCAGTCGCGTTTCAGTGCTAAGGCGATTTTTAAAATTGTGGCAAAACCGAACGGCGGTTACACAAAAGTCCTTTTTTAAGTCATGCCCACTCTTGTTGAAGTGTTTGGCCACAGGAAGACCGTCTTCATTGTTGATTGATCGCAGGTGTTGGCTAACCCTGTCAGACAATCTTTTCCCCGTTTGTCCAATATAAAAAATGTTGCAACGCCTGCACTGGATGACGTAAACTACGTTGCGGGACTCACAGTTGAAGTGATTTTTAATTTTGAGGGTTCCCTTCGGCAGCTGGAGTGATTCAACCTGAAGGGTGAAAAGACAGGTATTGCATTTACGGGGACAAGGAGTGGTGCCAAAACCGGTGTTGGTAGTGGGTGGCAGGCGGCTGCGAACTAGAAGGTCTCTAAGGTTGCGTTCCCTTCTATACACAACCAAAGGACTAGGGTTAGGGTTGGTGATAGGGATAGTTTAGTGTTAGGGTCATATGTAGAGAATGGTTAAGATTAGGACAAGTGCTGGAAAGAAAGTTAAGTCAATTCAAAAATGCCATTCTTACTTTTGCGATGCCAAAATGTATACGTCATATAGTTAAAGCAGAAGAAAGCAGAAACAGAGCATAGCGTAGGTAGGTAGACCAATAGAAATACAGGAGTTGACCAGTCACGTGGGACGGCAGATGACCAGTGAAGCGGAGTCAGCAGTTAGGGATAGGTAGCGGTAGAGAACGGTCAGAGATATGTAAAGTTAGGTAGCAGTTAGAGCTAAATAGCGCTTGGCGAAAGATATAAAAGTTAGAATGTAGATAATGTTAGGGATGGTCATGGGAGCGTGTATGGAGAAATCAAGTGTTAGTTGTAGTTAGATTAGATAATGTTAGTAGATAGTCGGGTCTTAAGACGTAGTTAGGGTAGGAATCTATGCCATGTATAATAAAGAACTGTATTATATTTGATTTGACCTTTTATGATGATTCCACATGGTGCCAGGCGTACATAGGAAGAAGCATTACATTTATATATAGGATCAACCTTTCTACAACCCTGCATTACGTTTAGTAGTAGAACTGACACCATCAAATTTGGTAGGCCAGCTCTCTCCTTAATTACACCCTTACATCTGGTGTGTCTTCGACCCCACCCTCTACAGCTGGTTTGTCTTCCACTACACACTCACAGCTGGTAGAGCCAACTTTTCCACCCTCACAGCTGGTGTGTCTTCCACCCCACCCTCACAGCTGGTGTGTCTTCCACCCCACACTCACAGCTGGTAGAGCCAACTAATACACCCTCACAGCTGGTAGAGCCAACTTCTACACCCTCACAGCTGGTAGAGCCAACTTCTACACCCTCACAGCCTTCCATGCTGCCACAATAAGTGATAACACTTCTGATTCATTTGTTGTCTCAATAAAGATTTCAAGATGTTCGTTTTGTATTTAACTTTTATTTTTGACTGCTTGTTATGTAAGACTTTTATGTTGCAAACCGGACTACGATGTTGCCGTCCGGTTGCTTAGTCGCCGGCCGAATACGTTGCTGACACTGGCTCGGGCACTAGCCAATAAGGCCGTCGTTGTCTAGGGGTATTTAATTATTCTACCAGAGTCAGCTACATTGAAGTAATCAACGGAACAGGAGACCTTCTTAGTTTGTGCTGTTTATTAATTAGCTAAATGCCTGTTCTGCTGAGCGAGGCTTCCCCTAACCGCTAACGTCGGGAGCGCTTGTGCGCGAGAGAGAGAGAGACTAACTAATCTGTCTGTATTTATACCCCTGTTTTAACCCCCTAGCTATTCCCACGGGACAATGAGCTCAAAACTTGTGATCTAACAAATTATCCCTCCTGGCGCTAACAACCCTGGCTACTGGTCAGTATAAAGACTACTATTGTCCTGTCAGAGCGGTCAGTCTCCTTTGAACGTGTCACCTACAGTCCATCCCTACTGTGTACCCTGTAATTATATAGTGAATGGATGTTTGTGGAATTCTGACCCAAGATTTTACAAGCAAGACATTTCAAACTTTACCTGAACAGCTCTTGACATGTTCTATAAAGACTGGACATGTAATGTAATGTCTAGGAAAAGTATGTAACAACAGCGTAATTTCATCCATATTTCCTACTTTGCCTAAAATGACTTGGATTGTATAAAAATCCAAGTCATTTTACAGAATGCCGGGCTTTCATACTTTGCAGGTAACATATTTTAGTCGTACCGGTAGGCCCTGCAGTGGTAATGGAGGTAAAATTTATTTGAAAAAGGGCGTAATTTATGTACTCAGCGTCATATACTCTGCAGTCAACGGTGTTTGGGACATAAGCAACGGTCTATATAAAAATATGGGCGTTTATAAAAATATAAACACAGACGTAAACAAACGGAAAAATAAACGAAATACATAAACGAAAACATAAACACAAACTTTAACATAAAGTCTAACTCAAACAATAAAGCAGAAAATAATGCATACATAAACGCGAATATAAACACAATATTAAATGCAATTACAAAAGCAATCAATAAAGCAAGTGGAGAAACAAATGTAAACATGGAGAACATTAAAAATAGACTTCTTAATTGTTATCGATAAAAAAAAATAATTAGTAAACATGACATGTAATGTATAAAATAATTGTTTTTAATATGTAAATTACCTGTGTTTTATCTACCACATTGCTTTTTAAATTGATAATTATGTAATTGTTTAAAAACATTAAAAAATTAAAATGGTATTTTTTTTGTTTTCTTTTAAGTCATCTATCATGGAAAGGTATTTTGTTCAAAGGAATGTACGTACTTTGAATACATTTTTCAGTAAAATTAGAATGTGTGTAAGGTGTAAAATATTTACTTTGCACATTACGTCTGTTAAAATAAGGTGTAATGAGAAAATATAGTTTGAAAAGGATAAATATACAACTACAAAACAATTATTTTCAAACGTTTAAAAAATAAAAATGCATAAAAAGATACGTGTTCGATAGAAGGACTGTTAAAAGGTGTCTTATAATGCTCTAAATATAATGTGTGTTATTTATTATAGTATTTTCTTCAATCCATTATTTTTTCAGCTCCATAATTCAACCTTACGCACTCCCCTCATACCCTACCCCTCCACCCCCCCCCATAAAAAAGTATTTAAGTATGTTTATTTTTTACTTATTCTTTACACACATGTCTGAAATACATCTGCCAAATTACGGATTGCCCGAAGGCAGTTTTCTAGAATGGGCAATCTCTAAAATGTACAAAGGCGAAAATGTCACGAAAGACACATAGCATTAAATGTTCTCAATCTTGATTAGAATTTTAAAAAACGTCCAACATTACCATCTCCATATAAGGTAAGAACAAGGAGAAAACTTTATTATTTCTGCTGTAGCCAACATATTCAAGAATTCTTTGGTGCTTGACTTTCCGAAGAGCCTTCATTTCAACCTCGATAGCTTTCTGTGCATTAAGTAAACACATATATTTATGTATATTTATTAGGCTATTTAATCTATTTCACATTCTAAAGTAGAAAAAAATCAAAATTTTAAAATTAATTTACTTATCATTTCTAAATATTCATCAGATCAACAGAATTCTCTTATATTCTCATTATATATGAAATAAGCTGTGAAATCACTTTTTGGATATGACGACTTTAAAAAAAGAATATTTGACTAGGTTGTTAAAAAAATTCCAATTCATTCAGATATACTTTAAAAAAATTAGAAAGACAAGCGGTATCGTTGGCAGTATGTCTCATGTTATGACGCAGATGCCTTAATCACTTTTTCAATACACATACTTTATGTACCCTAACTGATTATTAGCCCATCCACAAAAGACCAAGCCCCCCTTAGTAAAAGAGTTTCCAGTAGCACATTTCAATTTATAGTTTGATCGCAAAAGAATATAATGAAGACGTTAAACCTCTCACTTATAGCCTCCCCTGGTTTTGTGTGCTTACTTGTGTGGTGTGTTATCAAATGATAGGTAGGCATACCCTTTATTAGTCAAAAGTTGTAGCCATTGGCTTTGTTTTTTGTGTTGTGGGACAACGTGTGCTCATGTGGAGATTGACAGATGACGAGTGATAAAACTTTAGTAAATGTACGACCGTTGGTTGGTCGAATGACAGTGAGTGGACGTGGAATGTACGTGTTTGCTGAAACTTAAAGTAGTTTTGTCTCGTCGTTTTTATTATTTATCTTATTTTTTTAATAAGTAATACTGTATCATATTGTGTTTCTTATTGTTATTTTCAAGTAGGTCTACATTATGTTATGTTGTTATTCAGTATATCCTCCACACCCCCTGACATAGGCATTTGAAGAACCCGACAAAAGATAAGAGCAATAATTTCGTAAATTGACACTTTATGCCATTTATATATACAGGTATAGAGTGTAAATATTGAGTAGATGATACTTATGTATACAAACACTCTACATTGAAAAAAAAAGATTTGTCTATATTTTACTCACCAGAAATTTCATGTCCGTATCGTCTGACATAAAGGCTTGCTTTACTACACATTTTTGTACGTGTAGTTTGTTTATATCTATAACTTCTAAAACATGTGTGTTGACACCACGAGCTATTTTACGACCAAGTTTCCAATTTGACGCCTTTTCTTCTCCGTCTGACATCACAGAATTGTGGAACAGGAAGCCAGAAAAATCATGCAGGTAAATAAATACTGTTTTATAGTTTAAGTAAATTCTGTGCAATTGATTATCGCCCATTCCGACAGACAATTCAATATTGCCAGTTAATTGGGAGAAAATGAAACCAATTTTTAATTTTTTTTTATTTGCGATACATATTTTTTGTTGGCAGTGTTTTTTTCTGCTAATTTATACGAGCTTTGTAAACTAGGAAGAAAATTTAGACGATAGCAAACATTTGTTAAAGTGACTTTCGTCGTATAAATGATTCAAACATTGTCTTAGTCAGTAAAGGCATACAAATCCCGATTGTTGTTGCTGACAGACCAACATTTTAAGAAGATTTCATCAATTCCTTACCAATTATGTAGGCCTACTTTTAGACGAGTGACATTGATTAAAATGTGACATTGTTTAAACTAAGTTATATAAATGTAAACAATGCTGATGTCATATTTCTTAGATCTTAGATGTTATGGTGCCGATTTATCCACACTATCGTCCAGACGCCCTTTGGTTGTACTGAATGAAAGTCTTGAGTGACTAAAATCTAAAACCATAATTTTTTTAAAAAAGACGAATTACCTACCTCCTATAAAACATCCGTCGTATATTGGAGAATCATCCATTTCAAGTAGACGACCAACGGTACAGTAGGAAAATACTATGCCCACATCCTATCTGTAACCTTAATAAAAGATGTAGAACAATTTTTAAAATATTTTATAAAATTATATAAAAACAAAAGAACTCTTTATGATTATCATAAAAGTAGTTCAACATTTTCGTTTATATTCTTCCGCCACATCGATGATCTAATATATATATTGGTCCACCTTGCGTTCCCCTTGAATACCTTACATTCTCTCCCCTTACGTCAGTGAGTGATCTCACAAAAAGCATGTAAAAACATGACTAGTCGCTCACACAGTCCTTCCGTTGGCCATGTGCTCTACTTTTATACAACTTCATGCTAAACACAATATAATAAATCCTACAAGACGTACAGTCTGTTACAGTTAATAAAACACATACATACACACACCACAACAACTGTAAAAGTATTTTGTTAAGATACACTTCAGTATATTTGACTTAATAAACAAAATGTGTATTTATATTATTGAAGAAAGAATTATCCGCTTAGGATTTATCACACCTACTACAAGGCAAATTTATAAAAGATTTTACAACATGCAACGGTCTATAGGAACGTTCTTAATAATTTAGCAACATGATGATGATTGGGTTAGTTCACCCTACTCCGATGTGATGATTTCAACCACTTCACCACCCCAAATCGCGCCCCAAAAGAAAAAAAAAGTAAATTTAAACTTAAATAGAAAACGTATTATTTAAATTATATTGTCTTAAAATGTTGCAGACAAGAAATTTAAAAAAAATATCATATCAAACTAGCCAACATTACTCGTCCAGCCTACTAACTAAACTCTACCAACTAAACTCCAAGTAGAATCCTAGATCTAGAAAGCATGGTTAAACTTTCTAAAATAATCTCTAAAAGTTTATAAAATCTAGAATTTTGTTAGATTCAACAGATAGAATGACATATATAAGAATATATTCAATACATTATATATTCTTTGATAGATCTCAGGATCTCGATCTAGTTAATCTGCTAAAAAAATCTAGAATCTAGTACTAGTTTCTAGATCGTGTAGGCAAGTAGCTACAAATCTAT